TCGATTATAAAGAATTTCACCTTTTATTTATAATACATTTATTTTTTACATAATAGAAATAATAAAAAAACAAAAAACACTGAAAAAAAATCTAAAACTATACCTGGCATATCAAAATGATTTGAGTGGACTTGGCCCATAACAGGTCAATTTGTTGGATATATTCGCGTACGCCCTCTCCCTCATATTGGCATGTGAACTGATTTCTCTCCCACCCAAATTACTAATTTTTGTGATAATATCTGTAGACCATCACCAATAGTTTCAAAACCAAACCAACTCGATAATTCCTGGATAATGTCGATTCCTACTAAAAAAATAGGTAAAATAAAATTATTATTATTATTTTATTATTAGTTTCATACTTTTATTAACTAAAAATCACAAAAAACTAATTTATTACCTTATTATAAAGATTTAGAGTCACCAACGAATGAAATAATAAATAATAAATTAGGTAATAATTATTTTTGTAATTATTATTGTAATAACTTTTCAATTATCTAAAATGATTATGAATTATTTTAGTTAGCAATGATGAATTAGTTGAAATATCAAAAACTGCAAGAGGTAATTATAAGCATACCTTTTTTTATATTTCATAATCTTTATTATTTGACTTCACTCACCCCCTTCTAACATATTTTTACTTCCTTCACTTCTTTTCCTCTTATTTTGTCTCCCCTCTTTCTGAAATCACCGATTTTATCCTTCTTCTCACCGATTTCACCGATTTCACCTTCTTTCTTCTGTTAATTTTGACCCCATTCCTCTTCTTCACGATTCCATCACCTCTTTCTGGCATATTTTTACTCCCTTCTTTCCTCTTGTTTTGTCTCCCTCTTTCTTCTCGCCGATTTTACCTTTCTCCTTGTCAGATCGTTAATTTTACCTTTCTTCTCACCAATTTCACTCATTAATTTCGACTCCATTCCTCTTCTTCTGTACACAATTTGCCTCCTTCTAATATATTTTTATTCCCTTCACTTCTTTTCCTCTTATTTTGTCTCCCCTCTTTCTGAATTGCCGATTTCACCCTTTTTCTCACCGAATTGCCGATTTCACCTTCTTTCTTAAGGTAATTATATTTATTTTGTTTATAAACTTACAAAAAAAAAGACTAACTTAAATTCTTTAGGCTTGATCAAGAGTTTCCTCTTAACAAAGGATGGGCCTTGAAAGAGAACCTAAAACTTGGTAATAAGGGTGGGGGAAAACGTATATCAAAAAAGGTGGTTCAGTATTTACAAGGTTACTTTTTGACTGGAAACTTGAGAGCCGTGGATCGTTATTCACCTGAAAATATGCATACCTGTTTAGAAGAACTTGCTGCAGAAGGAGAAATTGTCTTGGAAGAAATATCAACAGTAAAAACTATCAAAGGGTGGATAGGAAGGTACAGTGCCAATTTCAAGAAAGAAGCATCAGAGCGAGCATTGGTAGAGAATAATAAGGAAAATATAAATATTGAAGGAAATGTTGAAGTAAATAGGTCAAGAAAACATCAAAAAAAAGATTAATAATGTAACTAGTCATTTTATCAAAATAGGAATCAGCAAAATTTAATAATAAAGCTACTATGAAATCTTCATTTCCTCTATCTAAAAATTTCGAAACTCTAAAAAAATAATTGTTTTTTTAATTGTATATATTTTTTCAAGATTCTGGACGCACATTCATATCATCAGTTACGTAAATTATTATGTGAAACAATTATTTTTTCACTTTAAAAAAATGACGATCAATTTTTACTACTATGAAGGTTACGCTAAATTTTACTATAAAAATTCTATCTGTCACATGCAGATTGGCAATTAATTACCTTTCCTTACTTATTCCTAAATAATATGAAAAAACACTACCTTCTTTCTTAGAGTTGGGATCGAGAAATGTCGTTCCTACAGCATGTTAGATTCATGAAAATGGGTAAGCATATTTATTATTAATTTTTAATATTTTTTTTTTTTAAAAAAACAACTTAATTATTCTTTCCTTACTTATTCCTAAATAATATGAGAAAATATTTACCTTCTTTTTCAGAGTTGGGATCGAGGAATGTCATTCCCACAGTATGTTAGATTCGTAAAAATGGGTAAGTATATTTATTATTAATTTTTTTTTTAATATTTTTTTTTAAAAAATAACTTAATTACTCTTTCCTTATTTACTCCTAAGTAATATGAGAAAACACTTACCTTCTTTCTCAGAATTGGGATCGGGAATGTCATTCCCGCAACATGTTAGATTCGTAAAAATAGGTAAGTATATTTATTATTAATTTTTTTTTTAATATTTTTTTTTAAAAAGAAATAAAAACAACTTACTTACCTCTTCTCTTATTTATTCTTAAATAAAATAAAAAAGCACTTATCTTCTTTCTCAGAATTGTGATTGGGAATGTCGTGAAAAGTGAGAATTAGGTAATAATATAGAAACGAGAGAAATAGGTAATAGTATAGAAATAAAAAAAGTAGGTAATAATAGAGAATTGGGTAATATAAAAGTGGGTAATAATAGAGAAATAGGTAATATAGAAACAGGAAAAGTGAGTAATATAGAAGTGGAAAAGTGAGTTAATATAGAAACAGGAAAAGTGTAATATAGAAGTAGGAAAAGTGGGCAATATAGAAGCAGAAAAATGGGTAATATAGAAGTGGTAATGTAGAAATGAGAAAAGTGAATAATAGAGACGAAAAAGTGTATAGTATAGAATAAAAGAAGTGGGTAATATAGAAATGGGAGAAGTAGGTAATATAGAAATGGGAGAGTTGGGTAATATAGAATTGGAAGAAGTAGATAATATAGAAATGGGAAAAGTGATAATATTGAAGTAGATAATAATAATAGAGAAGTGGGTAATATAGAAGTGGGTAATAATAGAGAAGTGGGTAATATAGAAGTAGGTAATAATAGAGAAGTAGGTAATATAGAAGTAAATAATAATAGAGAAGTGGGTAATATAGAGATGGAAAAAGTGGGTAATATAGAAATGAGAAAAGTGGATAATATAGAAATGAAAAAGTAGAAAAAGTAGGTTAATATAGAAGCGGAAAAAGTGAGCAATATAGAAGCAGGAAAGTGGGTTAATATAGAAATGGGAAAAGTGAGTAATATAGAAATGGAAGAAGTGGATAATATAAAGATAAGAAAAGTGGGTAATATATAGATAGAAAAAGTGGGTAATATAGAAGTGGGAAAAGTGAATAATATAGAAGTGGAAAAATGGGTAATATAGAAGTGGTAATATAGAAATGGGAAAAGTGGGTAATAGAAGTGGAAAAGTGTTTAGTATAGAATAAGAGAAGTGGATAATATAGAAGTGGGTAATAATAGAGAAGTGGGTAATATAGAAATGGAAAAAGTAGATAATATAGAAGTGGATAATAATAGAGAAGTGGATAATATAGAGATGGGAAAAGTGGGTAATATAGAAGTAGGAAAAGTGAATAATATAGAAGCAAAAAATAGGTAATATAGAAACAGGAAAAGTGGATAATAGAAATGGAAAAGTGTATAATATAGAAATGGGAAAAGTGGTCAATATAGAAACAGGAGAAGTGGATAATATAGAAATGGGAGAGGTGGGTAATATAGAATTGGGAGAAGTGAATAATATAAAAACAAGAAAAGTGGTAATATTGAAGTGGGTAATAATAAAGAAGTAGATAATATAGAAGTGAATAATATAGAGACGGGAAAAGTGGATAAAATAGAAGTGGAAAAGTGGATTAATATAGAAGCAAGAAAAGTGAATAATATAGAAGTGAAAAAGTAGGAAAAGTGGATAATATAGAAGTAAAAAAGTGGGAAAAGTGAATTAATATAGAAGCGGGAAAAGTGGACAATATAGAAATGAAAAAGTGGGTTAATATAAAAATGGGAAAAGTGTAATATATAGAAGTAGGTAATATAGAAACAGAAGAAATTGGTAATGTAGAAATGGGAAAAGTGGATAATAGAAGTGGGAAAAGTGAGTAATATAGAAATGGAAAAAGTGGGTAATATAGAACATCAGGAAATTTTTTCTAGTGAAAACCTTCGAAAGTTAACGTTAACGTAAGTATTTCGCTATTTTTCGATATGT